TGTGTATAAGAGACAGCCATCGGGAACGGAAATATTCCCCTTTCCCCAGCCTTTCCCCCTTTCTCCAGCCACTGGTAACGAGAGGTGAAGGTGGGGCATCCAACCCACCCCGGGGTGCAAGCCATAGCCCTCAGGGGATGCAGAGGCGACCAACCTACCCCCACCCCCCCACCGTTACCCTGATGCAGGAAATATGCCATAGCGATGGCGAGTCCTGCCAGTACCTAAAATAACCACCACCCCCCCCGCCGCCATGCCCTCAGGCACGGGCCCCAGCCCCAAAACGGGTGCTTTGTTTCAAAGCCTCTTGGCATCGCCCAGCTTGCCGGGAGCCAGCGGTGCCGCAGCCACCCACCCGTGCCTGGACACACGGCGATTGTCCTCCACCCAGCCCTGTGCTGGCACCACGGGGCCCCAGCCACCCCCGTCCCCCAGGCCCAGGGTCCGGGGGGGTCCTTGGGGTGTCAGACCGTGTGCAGCATCATCATGCATTGGGCATCACGCCGTGGTTTGCATCGGGCTGGTGGTCCCCATCCCCCCATCAGGGCGGTTGCCTCAGTTTCCCCCGGGGCTTCCCCTGGGCTTCCCTGGGGCAGAAAGAAGGGAGGAGGAGGAAGAGGAAGAGGAAGACTCACATAGCCTGCGAGACCACTCAGGCTGCCTCTGCTTGCCCCACTCTGCATGCCACCTCCCCAGCAAGCATCTGCAAAGCAAACCCCAACCCACAGCCCCGCTCCCCACACTTTTCCCCTTCCCCCGATATCCATCTAGCTCCTGGCTTCATGGAGGTGTGGTGCTGGCTCCAGCCCAGGGCTGTCGGCGGGCCAGGTTGAAGGCAGCTGCCTGCAGGCTCAGGCAGACACATGGCAGCAGATCCTTTTTGGGGAGCTCCCAGAGGGTGTGCAGGATGCCAGTGGGGTACCACAGGGCCATGCAAGTCTCTCCCACCGAAGGAGGGCACAGTGCTACCCCTGCCTCAGTTTCCCCACTTCCTAGCCATAGGTGCATTTCAGGCTGCAGACTTAGGGGGAGGATAGTTGGGGCTTCTACCCTTTCTGGAGACCACCATGTCCCGCAGGCTCAGCTCACCCTCCCGCCATGGCATCGCCAGACGGAGCCAGCGGCATGGGCGGCAGCCCCGAGGAGACAGAGCTCAGCATCACCCTGACCCTCCGCATGCTCATGCACGGCAAGGTAATGGCAGGGGGGCTTGGCACTGCTGGGGGAAGCAGCAGAGCCCAGGCTGGGGGGTCTTGCCGGAGCAGCATCTCCTCATCGCACCCTGGTTTCCTCCCCTGCTCCCAATCCCCCTGGGAACAGCAGTCCCAGAAGGATTTCTTCCCCCATCCTAAACCAGGGAGGGGCCTGTTCCCATGCCCCAGTGCCACCAGCAAGCCTTGCAGTGGCCACGGGGCAGGGCCTGCCTGTTGCCTGTTGGCCAGGCTGTGGGCAGAGGAAGGATGTGGCAGGCAGGGAGCTGCCTGCTTACAGGGCCACCCTTGTCTCTGCCTTTTCAGGAGATCGGCAGCATCATCGGCAAGGTAAGGCTTGAGGTCCAGGGCACCGCCAGCCCCGGGCTCCCTTGGACTTGATCACCCACCCTGTTCCTCTCCCCACAGAAAGGAGAGACTGTTAAGAGGATACGAGAGCAGGTAAGGGCATATTGGAGGGCTGCCAGGTCCCACTGTCTGTCCTGCCTGCACCTGGTGGCTCCCACGTGCCCAGCCCTGGCCTCCCCCATTCCCAGGTGGACCCAGGGGAGACACAGCTGCACCCCAGGGAAGGCTGCCTGGGGCAGGTGGGAGGGGGAAAGCCCAGGTCCGCAGGTATCGAGCCCCTCCACTGAGTCCTTCCCTGAGAGGGGACCTAGAGCACAGGGCCCACAACATCCCTGACGGGGTGTGACACTGTCCCCAGAGCAGCGCGCGCATCACCATCTCGGAGGGATCCTGCCCCGAGCGCATCACCACCATCACCGGCTCCACCGACGCCGTCTTCCGCGCTGTCTCCATGATCGCCTTCAAGCTGGAGGAGGTAGGCAGCTCCCCCACACCCCTGCTGGGTGTCCTCATGACTTTGGGCTACTGGGGTCCGATGCTGCATCCCCCCTTCCCTCGCAGGACCTGGGAGCAGGGAGTGATGGGGCAGCAGCAGGCAGAGCGCCGGTGACACTGCGCCTTGTCATCCCGGCCAGCCAGTGCGGCTCGCTCATTGGCAAGGCTGGAGCTAAGATCCGGGAGATCCGGGAGGTGAGGCTGGGGGTGCCTTGGGTACAGGCTCCCTTTCTGTCCCAAGACACAGACCCCTCGGCATGGGGGCTGCTACAGTCCTGCAGGAGCTTTGGGAGGTGATGCAGGAGTTGAGCATCACACTGTGGGTCCTGCAAAGGTCCCCAGGGGCCAAGGAGGGAACAGGGGAGGTGTGAGGTGCTGAGTCCTGGCAGGGAGTGGCTGAGGGACCCCAGCATCTCCCTTTTCCCCCCAGAGCACGGGGGCACAGGTGCAGGTGGCCGGCGACCTGCTGCCCAACTCCACTGAACGGGCCGTCACTGTCTCGGGGGTGCCAGACACCATCATCCAGTGCGTGCGGCAGATCTGCGCTGTCATCCTGGAGGTACCTGCTGAGCCCTGCGCCCAGCCCGCCGGGACACACGCTGCCTGCCCTCCCTCCCCAGGGCTCCCTGTGCCCACCTGCACCCAAGCACTGGGGTGCCCCCATGCTGAAGCCCATAAGAGCACCCTGCCTTGGTGGTGCTGGGTGCCATGACCAACTTGTTGGGAGGTGGGGGCAAAGTGGGTCCAGGGAGCTGTGGGGGCATTCAACCTCATCTCTCATCCCCTCCACCTCCTTCCCACCCTATCCAGTCGCCTCCGAAGGGGGCCACCATCCCCTACCACCCTGGCCTCTCCCTGGGCACCATCCTACTCTCTGCCAACCAGGTAAGGGGCCGCAGCTCCCCCGGGGGCATGGGGTGTCCGGGGGCCCAGCCTCTGCCAGCAAGGGGTGACTCCAGTGGGCTCAGAGTGGCCTTCCTGCCCTGGGGGGTGGCCTGAGGCAGGGGTCCCCACCTGGCACCCTCCTGATGCCACTTCTTTCCTCCCCACAGGGCTTCTCCATGCAGGGCCAGTACAGCGGGGTCTCTCCTGCGGAGGTGAGTCTGTCCCCATGGCAGCCCACCCCTGCTCCCATGGGCACTGGGTCTGTGTCCACTGAGATGGGTGCTGCCAGGGATGCATGTCCTGGTAGGCGCTGGGTGTCTGGCCCTGGGAGCGGACAGGGCACCCTCTGCCATCAGCCCTAATGCCTCCTTCCTCCTCCTCCTGCTGCCCGGGCAGGTGACGAAGCTGCAGCAGCTGTCAGGCCACACACTCCCCTTCGCCTCCCTGGGCCACGCACCCTCCATGGTGCCAGGTGAGCATCTCCCACGACCCCCAGGGCTGGGGGTACCCCTCCTGACGCACCCAGCCACCTGGCCCAGATGAGGGGATCTCCATCCTCTGCACCCTCTTTGGTCCCAGCCCCCCTGGCATGGCTACCTGACCCCCAGAACAACCCTGTCCTTGATTTCCCGGGGTCCCTGCACCTACCAGAGCCCCCCAGCCCTGAAGCGGGGGAGCACCAGCACCAAATTACAACTGGTGCCTATGTCCCGTCCTCCCTGCCTCTCCCCAGGGATCCTTCAGGTTTGTCCCCAGGGTCACTGACTGTCCCAGCATGGGGCTGGGGTGGGAGAACACAGCTGCTGAACACCTGCCCCCCCCCTGCTAATATCCCTGTCTCTCCCTCCAGGTCTGGACGCCAGCTCCCAGAGCAGCTCCCAGGAGTTTCTGGTGCCCAACGACGTACGTGTCCTTGAGCCCCAACCCATGTGTCTTCCCCCCACAGCTGCTTTGCAGGGGCCAGTACCCACCTCCCTGCACAGGGGAGGATCTGCCTTGGCCACCCAAGCTCAGGAGCAGAAGGGGCCACTGGGGCAGAAGTAGCTGGAAGAAAGGGGAAATTGAGGCATGGGGGGGAGAAAGAGCTTGGCCAGTGCCAAGTAAGAACCTTTGGATGTGGCAGCCCAGCGATGCCAGCCAAGGGGGGGGGCATGAGTGAGACCAGAAAGCAAGAAAAGCAGCACCTTTCCCTCCTGGTGCCCGCCTCAGTTTCCCCAATCCTCCAAGGTATAGACGGTGGCCGGGTGAGTCCCTGGGAGCTCCCTACTCGGTGTGGCTCCTCCCGTTGCTCCCAGCTCACCCTGGTTCCTGCCCCTCCAGCTCATCGGCTGCATCATTGGCCGACACGGCAGCAAGATCAGCGAGATCCGGCAAATGTCAGGCGCCCACATCAAGATCGGGAATCAGACCGAGGGCTCCAGCGAGCGGCACGTGACCATCACAGGGTCCCCTGTCAGCATCACCCTGGCTCAGTACCTCATCACAGCCTGGTAGGTGGCAGCCTGAGGGGGAGACACACTGGCTGCTAGGGAGGGGTGGCACCTCACCAGCAGACCAGCACGGCTTTTAAGGGACACCCCCACCCCAGCATCCTCAGGAACAATATGCTGAGTAGTACTCTGAGATCCTGAGATGGTGGGTGCAGGACCCAAGACCCCATGGGGTCTGAGCCACAGCTTTTTAGCCCTCCTTGGTGGGATGCCCAGGATGTGCCATGGAAAGCTGTTCCAGAAGAGATGGGACATGCAGTCCCTGCACCCTGAGACAGGCAGGTTGGGGTGGGGGACCCGCTCTGTCATGTGGTCCTCACCACCCCATCCTTCTTGCTCGCTTCCCCAGCTTAGAGACGGCCAAATCTACCTCCCAGGCGCCGCCGGGCCCTGGCTCCATGGACCTCGGCATGGGTTTCTCCCAGCCCCTCACCCCTGGCTCTGGTGCAGCACTGCCCGCCGTCGCCCCGGCCCCCCCAGCCCTGCTGGGCACCCCCTACACCATCTCCCTCTCCAACTTCATCGGCCTGAAGCCGGTGTCCTTCCTGGCGCTGTCCCCATCCTCTGTGGCGGGTCCCAATGGCGGCACTGCCACCTACACGACCAAGATCTCAGCGGCCAACGGCACCAAGAAAGCCGACCGGCAGAAGTTCTCACCCTACTGAGCCCCGCTGGCGGGTGGGTGAGGGGCTCTGGAGTGTCACCCGGTGCCAGGGACACCTCCCCGCCACCCACCCTGCC